CTCTCTCTCTCTCTCTCTCTCTCTCTCCCTCTCCCTCCCCCCCTCCCTCTCCCCCCCTGTCTCTCTGTCTCAAAATACATAAATGAAGTTAAAAAAAGAAGTAGGTGTTCAATCACTTTTTTAATTGAGAAAGCCACATCGCTCTGGTCTTGGAACTTACTCAGTGACATTTTTGGAGTTTCAAACCTCAGTGAGTAAACTCAGTTTCGTTCTAAAAGCCAAGAGCTACAGCCACCCACATGTAAACCAACAGAAACGTGGAATTCAGAATGGCCCTTGAGGTAGCCCTTGACAGAAGGCCAAGTTCCCTGGAATGAGATGCCCGCACCTATGTGTCATCGTGTCCTCAGTGCCTAGACTGGGGCTGACGCATGTTAGGCATTCAGCCGATGTTACTGGATAAAGCTATAAACTTTGATATAATTTTAATTTAGCGATCAAGAATGTGCAAACTCCATTTTAGCACGTTGTACTCTGCCTTTTTAAGGAACATCCCTCTGCCTGTTTCGACCTGAGAAATATCCTATAAGAAAATAATCACAGATAACCACCTCCCAACTATACCAAGATGTTCACCACACCATCATTTCTATACCAAACAATTCATATTTGAAGCAACAGGGGGGACGGAAGGAACTATTCGAAGCACTTTGCAAATATTAATTCATTTCATTCTCATAGCAATGCTACAGGGTGTATACTATGAATATAAGTTCCATTTTGCAGAGGAGGAAGTTGAGGCCTGGGCACTTTAAATAACCTGCTCAACATTACACAGGGAGTAAGTAGCAGACGTTGGCATCTGAGTAAGTCTGTCTGATTCTATGTCTTTGCTTTAACCAATATGTAACATTGCCTTGAGGTACTTAATTTTGCCTGATTGTCTTAAATTAGTTTTATAACAAAACTTTGGACGAAAAATATAGTCTCTCCACGCAGAGGAGGAACAATCACATCACAGGGAGGGGGGTGGGTGGTAGCAAGGAATCACAATTCTGCCTCATTATAAACCCAATGTCAACAGTTCACAGTACCTTATTCTTTCCTTTACCCTGGTCAGCAATCACTAATGCTTGCTTGCAAAACAATCTGTACTTCCAAAGTTGTTCCACACCATTCATCTCCTTAAAAACCATCCCGCCAAGTCACTACTTTCATTAATCCCAATTTACAGATGAGGAAGCTGAGGCCCCGAAAGCACAAGCGGCTCACTTAGGGTCATGTTGCCAGTTCCTTGGTGGCCGGTCTCCCATTCCTTCTACTCCTCAGTGTGGGTCAGACAAGTTCAGAACAGTGTCTGTCCTCCAGTTCATCAGCCTAGTAATCACTCAGGAAACCAGCAGGCACAGAGCAAAGTTAAAAAGGAGGATTGGTTCGGGCTTGGAGCAACTAACTCACCAACCTTGAAGTCTTAGGGCTACAAGGTCTGGACTTACTACCAAAGGACTTTCAGTCCTAGGCAAGAGATCTTCCCTAAGGAAGTTTGTGACATCAGCCTGTCTCTTCTGTTCCTCCCCTTAATATGCGATTCAGCTTGTTCAAAACCACCTTGGTCCCAAAAGTCTCTTCCCAGGTTGCCAAGAGACAGGACAGGATGATGATAATGAGGAAGGCAATAATGACACTAGAATAATTGATAATAATAGCCAAAGTGTACAGAGAGCTTACTCCATGCCAGAAACTGCCCCGGGCAATGTTTACATACATTTGATCTCCCAATCTACAGCTGCTAATCTAGGGGGCAGGTAGCATCTTCCTGATGAGGAAATGAGGCTCAGAGAGTGTCCATCACATGCCTGGCAGGCAGAAAATGGAGAAGGAAGGGTTAGCAGTTCACAGACTGCAGAGTGAGCTTCTGGCCCTAAAGCCTTCATTTATCAATCAACTTCAGACTCACCCCCTAACATGATGACTGACATTCCTCACATGTCTGATCCTCCTAGGGAATAGGGCTTCTCCAAGAAAGCCAAGCGCGGAGAACCCAGCAGCGTCGTGTCAAGGATCTAGAAACTAATTTATCCTCCTCGTATCCCAACATTTCCTTTTAATGAAAAACAAAATTGGCATTTATAGGTCTTCCTGTTTTTTTTCAAAGCGTTTTTCCTAACTTGAACACAAATTAAAAAAAGAAAAAAGTAACACGGTGCAAAACAAAGTTAACGAATGTAGTGAACGGATCATGGCCTGTTAAGTGGACTCCTCAGTCATTTTCCCAGACTGAACAGGCAGACTTGGAGGTTCTGAGGTGAAGGAGTACTCTGTGACTGGAGGTTTTCAAGCTTGGAAGGCATCGTTCGGTAAGCAGTCCCTCAAGGAGCATACTATTCAAAACCTTGGCTGGGAGGGGCGCCTGGGTGGCGCAGTCGGTTAAGCGTCCGACTTCAGCCAGGTCACGATCTCGCAGTCCGTGAGTTCGAGCCCCGCGTCAGGCTCTGGGCTGATGGCTCAGAGCCTGGAGCCTGTTTCCGATTCTGTGTCTCCCTCTCTCTCTGCCCCTCCC